CCGTAGATTATCCAGGGTGCCGATTCTCGAATATTTATCGAATTCGACAACATTTTCTCGCCATCGGTTTAAAATGGTGACCAAATTTTGCCGAAAGTGACGTTTATTCAAGATTCGCCTCCCTGTGTGTTCTGCGTGCGCTATCTACTTTTCTCCGGTCAAACACCACTCGTGATCCACCGTAGATTATCCAGGGCGCCGATTCTCGAATATTTATCGAATTCGACATCATTTTCTCGCCATCGGTTTAAAATGGTGACCAAATTTTGCCGAAAGTGACGTTTATTCAAGATTCGCCTCCCTGTGTGTTCTGCGTGCGCTACCTACTTTTTTCCGGTCAAACACCACTCGTGATCCACCGTAGATTATCCAGGGTGCCGATTCTCGAATATTTATCGAATTCGACATCATTTTCTCGCCATCGGTTTAAAATGGTGACCAAATTTTGCCGAAAGTGACGTTTATTCAAGATTCGCCTCCCTGTGTGTTCTGCGTGCGCTACCTACTTTTCTCCGGTCAAACAGCACTCGTGATCCACCGTAGATTATCCAGGGTGCCGATTCTCGAATATTTATCGAATTCGACAACATTTTCTCGCCATCGGTTTAAAATGGTGACCAAATTTTGCCGAAAGTGACGTTTATTCAAGATTCGCCTCCCTGTGTGTTCTGCGTGCGCTACCTACTTTTCTCCGGTCAAACACCACTCGTGATCCACCGTAGATTATCCAGGGCGCCGATTCTCGAATATTTATCGAATTCGACAACATTTTCTCGCCATCGGTTTAAAATGGTGACCAAATTTTGCCGAAAGTGACGTTTATTCAAGATTCGCCTCCCTGTGTGTTCTGCGTGCGCTACCTACTTTTCTCCGGTCAAACACCACTCGTGATCCACCGTAGATTATCCAGGGCGCCGATTCTCGAATATTTATCGAATTCGACAACATTTTCTCGCCATCGGTTTAAAATGGTGACCAAATTTTGCCGAAAGTGACGTTTATTCAAGATTCGCCTCCCTGTGTGTTCTGCGTGCGCTACCTACTTTTCTCCAGTCAAACACCACTCGTGATCCACCGTAGATTATCCAGGGCGCCGATTCTCGAATATTTATCGAATTCGACATCATTTTCTCGCCATCGGTTTAAAATGGTGACCAAATTTTGCCGAAAGTGACGTTTATTCAAGATTCGCCTCCCTGTGTGTTCTGCGTGCGCTACCTACTTTTCTCCGGTCAAACAGCACTCGTGATCCACCGTAGATTATCCAGGGTGCCGATTCTCGAATATTTATCGAATTCGACAACATTTTCTCGCCATCGGTTTAAAATGGTGACCAAATTTTGCCGAAAGTGACGTTTATTCAAGATTGCCTCCCTGTGTGTTCTGCGTGCGCTACTACTTTTTCCGTCAAACACACTCGTGATCCACCGTAGATTATCCAGGGGCCGATTCTCGAATATTTATCGAATTCGACAACATTTTCTCGCCATCGGTTTAAAATGGTGACCAAATTTTGCCGAAAGTGACGTTTATTCAAGATTCGCCTCCCTGTGTGTTCTGCGTGCGCTACCTACTTTTTCCGGTCAAACAGCACTCGTGATCCACCGTAGATTATCCAGGGTGCCGATTCTCGAATATTTATCGAATTCGACAACATTTTCTCGCCATCGGTTTAAAATGGCGACCAAATTTTGCCGAAAGTGACGTTTATTCAAGATTCGCCTCCCTGTGTGTTCTGCGTGCGCTACCTACTTTTCTCCGGCCAAACACCACTCGTGATCCACCGTAGATTATCCAGGGCGCCAATTCTCGAATATTTATCGAATTCGACAAAATTTTCTCGCCATCGGTTTAAAATGGCGACCAAATTTGCTCCCCAGTGCTACTCCGCTGAACCTGAACGCTGCTACACCTGGTCTCCAAGAGCGGTCCAACCTCTGCTGAACGCCCTCACTTTCTCGTGCCCTCATTTTATCCCTGTGGACAGGGGAGTAAGAATACTTCCAAGGTTCTCGCGCCTGTCGTAAAAGGCGACTAAAGCGGCGTCGAGCCCGACGTAAAGTGGCCTTCTGACAGGTCACTTCTTCTTGAGACACACCTTCTGCGGCCCGCAATTAGCACCTAGGGCGCCGATTCTCGAATGTATATCGAATTTGACAAGATTTTGGTGTAATATGGCGACAAAATCTTCGTCGAAAGCGACAAACATTCGAGAATCTGCCCCCCAGTGCTACTAGGCGGGCCGCAGTCGTAGGGGATCCCTTCGGGGTGAACCACTGAAGCCAAGGAACACCTGTCCCATGCACTTAGTGCATGGCATTTGCTATGACGTTAACTAATTGTGTTTAATCATCTTCTGCGGAGATTTTTAGCTTTTACAGCAGTACCGTTTGGCGTCAGACAGCTTCAGGCTCGAGATGAAGGCAAGCATCGGCGATGGATCTGCTCCTGCTGGCCCTCTGGAATCGCCTACAAGCCGAGAGAGAAGACTTCCTCGGTAGCAACTGACGCAAGTTTCTGACAGGTCACTTCTTCTTGAGACCGCTATAGGCCAAGGAACACCTGTCCCATGCACTTAGTGCATGGCATTTGCTATGACGTTAACTAATTGTGTTTAATCATCTTTTGCGGAGATTTTTAGCTTTTACAGCAGTACCGTTTGGCGTCAGACAGCTTCAGGCTCGAGATGAAGGCAAGCATCGGCGATGGATCTGCTCCTGCTGGCCCTCTGGAATCGCCTACAAGCCGAGAGAGAAGACTTCCTCGGTAGCAACTGACGCAAGTTTCTGACAGGTCACTTCTTCTTGAGACCGCTATAGGCCAAGGAACACCTGTCCATGCACTTTGTGCATGCCACTTGCTATGACGTTAACGCGGTCACATCGCGACCTTTCTCTACTCGTCCGACAGGCCGCGCTCGCCGCCCAACCGGACACTTCCATTGTAGATGGATACACGGAAATTTTTATGAATATACCTTGTCTTCAACCTTTTGTGTAAATAATAAAGATCAACCGTGATACTTAAACCCGGCGTATATTTTATTTTCACAACAATTACCCTTTTTGTCTATCACGATTTCAACATTTGGTTGAAATCGCTAATTTATCATGGGGCGCACCGGGAAAACTCCCGGTGTTTTTCTATTTTGAAGGCCTAGAAAAAGGTAGATAGTGATAAACATTATTTGAAGGGCAGAGAGGAAAAACGGTAGTTGTCACATTATGAAAGTTTTAGAGTATAGCAAAAACAAAGTTCGTGAATTCCTCTACCTCTTACATTAAAACAAAAAAAATCACATTAAATGCTACTCTAATAATAAAAGTATTTATTTAAACAATCTATTGACATAAAAAAAAAATTATTGGCATAAATTGAAAAAAACTATTTGAAAACATTTTCATAATGTGACAACTACCGTTTTTTCCCTGTTCCCTTCATTTCCATCGTTGTACACAGGATAGGCAAGACATAATAATATTTTCTAAATTACAAAATACAATAAATTATGATATTTGAACGTATAATATAAATCTGTGCCATTCCGTTTTACCTAATCTACCTACATAAAATAACTTCTGCATACCTAATAAAGGATTAGCGAAGTTGTATTTTCTATTGTTCTCTAAACACTAAATATAAAGAAGTTTCTCGTCAAATGTGTAATTCATTATTATATATTACTAGTATACTCAGTCAACAAAAATTATAAAACAATTTCTGAACTATAAAAATATAAATATTACCGGCTGTCGGTATATTTTTCTTAGTTACCAACTATCCCTGCATTAATCACTTAATACATTACTGACTACTGCATAATACATTGTATTGCAATGCTAATGTATAGTGATGGGCATAATCGAGATATCTCGATTATGAAAACAATAGAGATATTTCGATTATGATAAAAATAATTGAATAATTTCAATTGTATGTAAAATAATAGAATTTTCTCTCGAACAGCGAACTCGAAGTGTTTCGAATCGTCGGTTGTCGTGTCTGTCAATTGATAAACATTATTACTAATTTCGTAATTGAAGGGGTCAGTGGATAAAGGTGTTAACTGACATTTTTGAAGTTGTTCAGGAATGCTACTTTTGTAACTAAATATTACACAAAATCTATAGAACTTTTTTATATTCAATATATGAAATAACTTATAAGTGGAAAAAAATCGGTCTATAATATTCTATGGATGCTCTATAATATTCTTTGACACTTTTGTTTATGCATTTTCGAAAAAATGTCAGTTAACATGGATTACGGTACATAATTAAATTGAAGATAATAATAATTATTGAACGATTAAAAAAAATAAAACATCTTTGTCATTTTATTTAAGACACCCACTAATAATTAAGTATTATTACTTCTAAATTACGATTCAATTAATAATAGGTATTATACCGACAAATAAAAAAAGACATTAAATTATTCATTTACTATAAGTAGGTGCATATTTCTTTACTTATACCTATTTGATTTGGTTATAACTTCTTTATCTTCGCCTAACACTCCCAACTACATGGGGTCGGCATTTGGTTATAACTTATAAATGGAATTAATGTAATCGAACATACTCAAAATCAGTAAAAATAGTCTATTATTTTAATAATAGACGATTTTAGTTTCGAGTAATTTTTCGAGAGATTCTCTCAAATACTAATCATTTGATTATGCCCATCACTATTAATGTACAGCAGTTTTATAAACAGCTGATATAGTACCTTAATACGTAAACTATAAATAGTACCAACTCAAAAATCAAGTTTTAAATAATTTATTATAATGAAGGCTATTTTAACATTACAATTGTTTCACTGATTGTCAACCATAATTTAGAAATTTACAAAATATTAGTACATTATCTATTACACCAAATCTTATAAATTCTATTAAAAAAAAATATGAACACAGTTTAACATTAAATTTATGCTAATTATATTATAGATAAATTATCTACATTTTGTTGTAAAAGCAGTAAAATCGGAACCATTATTTACAAAACGCATTTTTCCTCTGCCAATAGTAGTAAATGAAATTAAGAATTTCCTTATGATCGTCGTGAATAATTACTAAAAATTGAGTTAGCTGGTTATTGCACCGGTCCCTTCTAATGCTTTACATGTAAAAATAGCTAAGTAAATAATAAATAGGAACAGTTTATATAAAGACAAGTTCATTTATGTGTTTTAAACTTGTACATATTATTATAAAACACCTCACATTTTCTTTATCTACTCCATATTGGAATACTATACTAAATTGGGTTCTATGAGATATTTAGACACTGCTTGAGATGGTAGAACCAATATTTAGTCTGCACTTTTTATCAAGATTTTCTTAATTAGCTTTAGAACTTACATGTTGTATTTATATATTTATTACAAATGAATCATTAAATTGTGTTTTAATACATAGTTCCACAACAATATTAACTATTTTACTTTGTACATTTTTATGTTTCTGAATATTTGAGATCTTTAAATCTTATACTACAATATGGACTTTTTTTTTATATTATAATGTTATTTTTAATCAATTTAATTTATAAATGAATTTAAATATTTAAAGCAATTTATCGATAATAAATAATTTGTGACTATAATGGTATGGGACTGTTGTATCATTTATAGATAATAAATATTAAAATTAAAAATAGTTATATTGAATAAATTATTAATTTTGACTCAAATGACCAGGGCCTACTGGTTCGTCGCTCGGGCTCGATTCACTCTCGCTCGATGAACTTTCTGCAATATCCCAATTATCTATAAATAATAATGAAAAAATTAATTTTGAATTAATATCATAACATTAACATTCTTCAAATCAAACAAAATGTTTCTTCTTAAGTTTTAAAAGTACGTAATGAAAATCTTTAGTATACTTAGAACTATATCATAATGATAATTTTACTTAAATCAACTAATGAGTTATTCATTAGCTAAGTTTACATAGCTCGATAGTAAATGAAGTGATGAGAACTAAAAAGTGGGTACAAGTGACATTTTTTTTTTCAAAAACAAGTTTTTGATTATACAATATTTGTCAATGAATTCTATTGTTTTACAATTTTTGAAAGAGAAATGAACATCACTCGCCAGAACACTTGCAAAATAGAATTTAAATTTTGCTCTCCTGTTCAAATTTGTTTTAAAATAACTTATATTTGATTGATTTTAATCACTTCAAATAGTCTAATTTAATAAAAGTAGTGTATGGTTGGTGATTACCTTTATAGACATCTTCTAAACAAAGCATTTCATCTAATCCTTTTGTCAAGTTTTTCAAAAAACTAAAATAAAAGAATTTGTTTGTTATAAAATTAATTTACTGCTGCTGCTGCTGCAAAAAAAAATTAAAGTAAAAGGCATAAATTAATTACCTGTCTTCTGATGTACCTTGTTCTTCAGTTTCACCATTTTCCATGGATAATGTATTCTGTAATTAACATAATTAAGTTTCCAAGTAAGTCGTATGGTCATTTAATATTACCCGAAATTATAAGACGTGTGACCAAAGACATCGAGAAACCAAACTGACAAAGGACGAAAGACACCCTATGTTCGGACATAACCATATGTGATTTTGTTTTTTAGATTTACCAAATTTGTTACCTAATTTATTTATGTATTTTATTATTTAAGTATTTACCAAGGTTTTTTTTTAATATTTTTATATTATTTGGACTATTGATAATTGGCATTTTATATTCGGACTTGATCTTTATTATCTAATTTAAATCGTATACACTATACACGTAAAATTCATAATAAATTACATTATATTATAGTATATACCTATCATATAAGTATATGTTATAATTTAATATTATTTGGTATAAAATAATAATAATTTTATTAAAATTTCCCTCAAATTGTTTATATTACTATTTAAATAAAACATTATTTTTACTTTTTACCTAAATTAGTTAACGATTTCAGAATTTGGCTGTCAAGTATAAATTAGTTTTACCACATCTTACATATGTATTCTGTAGTTAAAGAATACAGGTAGGAGCTTATAAGCTTTGTCTTCAATCTTGTCTTTTAGAAGATATATTATTAACAAAATTTGGTACCTAAAGGATATATTAGAGCAAGATAACGGAACATATGACACTTGTAGTTTAAATACCTTGCATGAATAACTAGAACAAAACACATTACTTGGTTTAGCAAAAAAAAATTGTACCGTTTTTTTTTTTAATCTAGGTATTCAAAATTTTGACTACACAATTTTTCCTAACAACATCAACATAATTTCACAACAGTTTACAAATTTTCAATCTTTCAGTTAGGTCAAGATATTTTTACAATAAATTAATATTTTAATGTTATTAAGGTAAGTAAATATTAATAAATAAGCAAATACAGAAGCTACATTTATAATTTATTTGGTAGGCTAATAATTATGTTTGTCAAAATTGTAATAGTAATATACTGTTAGTATCGTTAAACTAAAGATACTTGTATTGACACTTAAAGTGTAAAAATATTCAAACAATAATACAAGTATTCAAAAAAAAAAAAAAATTTAAACAATCTTAATTTTGTTTTAATGTAGTTGAAAATTAAAAATATTTAGCCAAATGAGATATCAGTGTAGTGGTCATAAATACAGTACAGTTTATATGGACGTTGAAGACAGGATAATAAGTTATTCAATAAATAAACAACTGAATTACAGTTGATTAATAATAAATTATAATGAGACTTTTTTAAATAAAATTAAACAAAATATAAAAAGATTGGAGGTGATACTACGATGTCTAACAGCAGGTAAACAGAAATACTGGGTGGTTTTTATAATGTTAGTCTGATACAGAATATTCTTCCAGGGGTTTTGCACAAAATCCAATTAACTTCAACAACAAATATTCAAATATAGTGTCAAAAATCCGTCTATGGATTACAGTGTCCATGGAGAAATATATGATATGTCCATTTAATCTTCCTCTGGTCACATTCTAGCTGAAAAAACAACAAATGGTTAAATAATATTAATAATAATTATAATATAAAACCAATTTTAAATGAATTACTAATGTTAACGTTTGTTAATTGTGAAGTTAAAATTAAATATAACGAAAATTGATAATGACATTTTTTTATACCATTTAACTTCCAACTTTTTATACCATTCAATTTAAATTATCTATCAATAACACTTGGAAGAGTGATTTCATGAATAGACTATATTTGTGACCGGTATATATCATGTGGACCTAGTTTGTTATCTCATACCAATGAAGCGTAAGATCTACAAGTAAATGCAATTTTTCTTGTACAAAAACTAACAATGTTAGAAAATAGTAAATTAAATTATTAAAAAGAAAGATAATTTACATTTGATTTCTTTTTTTTTAAATACCCTATATTAGGGTGTTTTAGATTGATATTAAACTAATTTTGTATCAATATTTGTATTAATACTACAAATCTAGAATGTTTTCCATACCTAATCTATTTAGACAAATGATAAAACAATTATTTCTTCCAGTTAGTGTCGATGGAGAACTGTTCAACCAGAATCTTTGACTCATCTTAAAACTGAAAGATATATTTTTAATAAATAAGTTAAAAGTTGAAATGTTAATTATTAAAATAATAGAGATTAAATCAATTAAAACAATTTTACAAAAAATAACTCCATACCTGTTACCACACTTAATCAGACTAGAGATAGTTTCAGTAATCGAACCGCTCTAATGAATAAGCATACCGATAAGCTTTTTATGACTTCAGACAACTACCATCATACTGTAAAACATAATTTACTTGTATAAATAGTTTTATTTAAATAGGATGTAATAATATTGTCACACAAATTAGTACAATATAGTGTATGTATGAACTTTGTCGCTAGGTACTATAATTGATAAATATATTATGTTATTCATATTAAATATTGCAAGTTTATATTATGTGAAAATAAGAGTTTTGAATTATGAATTAAAAAAGAATTCTAATAAAAATATTCATTTAATATTAATAAGAAACGAAAGTAAATTTTATTTACCAATAATTATCGTTGTCGTCATATGAACTAGTTGGTTTTTTGTCATTATAAATGTATCGTAAAAATGTGTACTATTTAAGAAAATATAATATATTTTAACACGGTTATTTTTTTTTATCATTTGAATTATTGCCGTTTAGTTCTAGAGATAACAGTTAACTCTGATAAACGTTAGTTATATTTTAGTTACTTTTATTCTAATAGAATTGGCAGACTGATAGAATGTGATTTTATATTTTGGTGTTTCTGGGTTGGTCACGCTGATAAAATAAAAATTGTGTTATCTTTTGGAAGAACTCTTATCTCTTATCATTTTTTGGAAGAACTGCCCTGTACACAAATTACATATGTTTATTATTTACAATTTTTTCGATTTTCAGGTTTAACTTAGTTTAAGATAAATAAGGTTATGTTAAGTTTTATATTATTACCCATTCAAATTTCAAAGAAATTTGTATTAAATTCGATTGACTAGTTAATTAAATTTGTTGAAATTTAATAGTTGGGTACGTCTTGTGTTAATGACAACAAATATGATATAATATGTAAGCATAATATAATATTATAAATATTAGTATATAATACTAACACAGATTATCTCATCTGTGATATAAACAAGATTTCTGATATCCTCTAAGACCAAATGTAAAATGTTGTCTATTTGCCTTAAAACGCGCCAATTTCAAAGTCCTTGCGTTTTGAAATATAGCAGGCATATATTGAAGTTAAAATTTAAAAGGCCTCATAGTACTAAACAGAATAATGTTCAACAAAAGAATATTCGTTCTACTGTATACTATTTGTCAGCGCTGGGCGTATTGACTGTTGGTCTTAGTTATGCTGCCGTACCATTATATAAAATGTTTTGCCAGGTATGTCATAAAACACTTCAATTTTTTTATACATTTCTTCATCATAAGCTTCACTCACCCTAGCAAACCTAACCAAATTATTACTTTAATGTTGCAATTTGCACTTCTAAGGTTTGTCAAAATACCGACATTAGGTGAATTTTCGTTGCACGAATGTACTGATATTCACAGTTTGGTTTGCTAGTGTGGATGAGGCTTAAAAACTGCATTTGAATTGACTAAATTATTTTGAATACTGAACATAAGATATTTGTATGCTGTATTTTTTATGAAATGTTCCTTGTAGGATAAATTGTCTAATTATCTAATTTATTAATAATAATATTATACACCTAGGCGTTTAGTTATGGCGGAACACTTAGCCATAATATTGAAGATTCTAAAGTAGAAACAATGAAGCCTATAAGCAATAGACTAATTAGAGTACATTTTACTGCAGATACTTCATCCAGTATGCAATGGAGTTTCAAACCTGTTCAAACGGAAATTAAAGTAATTCTTTCAATAATCTAGTTATTTAAACAGATTTTTACTGTACTTGGTTTTATCTTTTATTTCTCCTCATTAAAAAAAAGATTCTGTCAAGGCTAGGCAAGTTGGTAAATTTTTTTTACTAGTTGGAGCGAGTAATATTTTGGTAAAAATACTAAGCGATCGATTAAACTGACATCTTGAAACATCCAACAGTAATAGTTCCTGTCAAACAGGTTTCAGAAAAAATCATTCAATCTATGACATACTCATAACAATTTTATCAGATGTATAACTCACATAAATGCCTCACATACTATGTGAGGCGTTCATCAGAAAACAACACTTACTAGAAGTTAAAAAAACATGTGATAAAATTTAGAAAAGATAATAGGACATCAAAGCAACATATTAACTAAGCATAGAAAACTTTTTAACAAACAGAGAATTACAAGTCAAAATATGAACATGCCATCTAACAAAAATCTCTAGAAAGTGGAGTATCACAAGGATCAGTTCTCAGTCTTATTTTTAATTTCGATAATAACCCCAAAATTGTTTTAATTTAAAATAAGCTGATACATATAAACTTATTTTAATAAAAATCCTTTTAACCCCACTGCCAATATCCACACACTGACATGGACGTTTAATTACAAATGTAAAATACATTACACAACTAACTGCTTATAAAAAAAAAATAACATGTCCAATCATCATAAAAAATATATTTGAAGAAATAATAGAATGCAATTACTCTAATCTCATCTAATTGTATATTGATGCTTCCAAATCCGAACATAGAGTTCGTTTTCGAATAATTCTCACATGTTATCGAATATGTCTACCTCTCAAAAATTGTTATTGTATTTACAGCTAAACTCAAAGCAATTGAAAGTGCACTAAATAAAGCCATTAAAATCCAAACAATGTATATTTGATCCTCGCGCATTATCTAAGCTTATTACAAGCTAATATTAACTCATTATCCAACAATTCAAAAGTCAACTACGTAAATAGCACAATACAAGAAAAGGACAACATAGATCTAATATGGGATCCTATCACAAAGAGCCACAAACTAAAATATACCTTACAGTTGGATAGAAGATTTTGAAAAAGGAAATGAGGACAACTTTGTTAAACACCTTGTTTGAATTATGAGAGTTATTAAAAAGTCTTATCATTAATTTACCTAGAGTATATATTACCAATCACTTAATACTTTGTAACCATTCAATAGTTTTGAATTTCCAGTTCTTTTCAACTGCCAAAATATATATTGTTCTTGAACTAAAAATGCCAAAACAATATGTTAGTAACTTATGAAAATAAATAGTTAGCTGTTAGTATAGTGCTAATTAGTAAGTACCTAGCCTTGAATTTTGTTATCTTATTTTTTTTTTAATGTCTTAAATAATTATAATAATAACCATTTTTCTTATAGAATACATTTTTTAGTTTATATTTACTTGTTAGTTAGTACCAGGTGAAACAGCGTTGGCATTTTATACAGCTAAAAATCCATTAGATAAACCAATCACGGGTATCAGTACATATAATGTTGTACCATTTGAAGCTGGGCAGTATTTTAATAAAATTCAATGTTTTTGCTTTGAAGAGCAGCAGCTGAATGCAAATGAAGAAGTAAAAAATTACTGTTTAATATAAATTTTCAATGTGTTAACAATGATGATGCAATGTTGTGCTTTTACAGGTCGATATGCCCGTTTTCTTTTTCATAGATCCCGAGTTTGCTAGCGATCCAAAAATGGAAAATATTGAAGACATAACTCTTTCATATACATTCTTTGAAGCTAAACAAGGTGTTAATTTACCTTCAATTTTTAACCATTGAGCTATTAAGAGAATTTTTGTGTATAGATTTTTAATAAAAATATGTAATATATTGTAGAAGGAATTGTATTTAAGAGATGAATATATTAATGTTAATGTTTTCTTACAAACGATTATTTTGTCAACTTTCTAGTGTAGTTATTTTTGTATTAATGTGATCTACAGGTGCCCATTAGTTTTTCATTGTTTTTGTTGTGCTTTGGTAACTGATCATTTTAAGTATATTTTTTTACGTTTGGTTTGTTTTTGAGATCTTCTTCATTCCAAGTTTTAAAGATTTAGGAAATTTGCTTTTACCACAAAATAAGATTATGTTGAAACGGATCTTAAGTAATAAAAAATGCATTTTTAAATAATAATTGTTGACTAAACTGCAACGTTTCTAAAGAATGTTGGGAACTTCAGTGGTCTGCACTAAAATGTATTAAGTCGCATTGTGTAGGCAGTTTCTCCTAAAACTTAACAGTAAACTAAAATTGTTAAGTTTATATTTTAACAGTAAATAGATCTATTTTGATATTTAATATATTTTTTAAACTTCTATAACGCATACGAACTATCTTTGTATAAATACATTTTGATTCTTCAAAAAATGTTCAAGGTATTGATTGAATTCCAATTACATTAAAAACTGAATTAAAAATATATTTTGATTGATACGTCAAGTAAGTATTGAATTATCTATATCTGTTTTCAAAACTATTGTCATACCGTGTGTTTCAGAGTAGGGTTGAATTTAGAATGAGTGTTTTGAGTTAAAAATATGCCGGTGTAGAGGGCTCATAAGGGTATGTTATATACTGAGTTTTTTTATTAAGACCATTGATTATAATTTATAATCAATGTTAAAGCATTTGGCATAAGCAGTATTTGTGCATAATATTAGTTTAACTCCGAGGGGCAGTAGTTAGTATTAACACCACTCTTGTTACAGCCCTAAAAATTGAACACGCATTTGAGTAAAACGAGAATAGGCATACAGAAAAAAACTGAGCTGTATTTCTAACCCAAAATAGGTACAAATATATAATAAACAAAAACAAGATTCAATTTTTTTTTTTAATTATTACTCCGAAGAAAAAAAATATAAGAAAACTAAAATATGCCAAAAGCAATATAATAGGTTTATTTTATAATCAGTCATCCTTCATATTTACTAGGGGTATTATGTAACTTGTGAAAAATTATCTAATGTTTCTTGTTTTTCGCTACAACAGATGATGCTCTTCTCTGCCTTTTGAAGAGCAATTTTCTTATTAGTAGCTCCATTTTAGTTGTTTTCGTTTCATTTTAATTGTTTTTAAAACAATATCTTAATATATTAAATATAAAAAGAGTATGTCAGTTCTTCATATTACACATTTTATATCACGTCTTCATTACTATAATTTTTTAGCCTGCTGCCTAGTGCCACGGTTATAGATATCTATTTTAATTAAATGTAGACTAATGACCAGATATTTGCCTAAATGTGGCATGGGTAAAGAACATTCAATTTGATATACATATTGTTGTTAACTTTTACATCAAATTTTAATTTAATATGAACCTTCTGTTTATTGATCAGGTCATATACAATTTTATAAAATTTAATATTAGAGCATTGTGTAGCTCAGGGATACTATGTACTAGAGCTAAGACCTCGAATCGAATTTTTTTATTATTCGATTATTCGAATAGTAATTAAATAATTCAAATTTCGAATATTTTGTCAATTTTTTTTTTTTGTAATTATATATCTATATAAATTGTTAAAATCTTATTTGTTGTAATAAATAATAATATTTATTTTGTTAAAAGAATAATTTGTTATAATTACATTTATTTTGTTAAAAAATTATTAAAAATTGATCAAGGACACCTTAGTTGTCTCTAAATTATTATTTTTTTTTAATCTATATAATCCTGCAAAGAAAATGATAAAATATTCGAATATTCGAAAAATAAATTGGAATATTCATTATCCGAATAACATATATTCATGCGAATAAAGTATTAGAATTTTCGAATTTTTTTTATTCGAATAGTCCCACCACTACTATGTACTTTTTAGAGTAATTGAACCGACTTCAGCCCAGTAAGTAAATGAAAAGGCAACCCATTAAATTTCTTATCAATAAAACTAGTGCACAAGACACAAATATAATATAATAATTGGCCATAAAATCTAAAGCAAGTGGCCCAGTAGTAATTTGGCCACTTACCTGCCTCTCAACCCCGTAAAAAACTATCAATTTTAACTGGTATTTAGACCGACTACAAAATAGTGCAACAACAATATCTTGATTAATAAGTTTACTTGATAGTAACACTTTTTTTGACAAGTATAATATAATTGATAATAATAATAATAATCATAATAATAATAATTAAAAAAAAACCTTTTGCACATTTTCCGAAATCATGTTTTACAAAATATACATTTCAAGGCTAATAATTGTTTTAGTTTTGTTCTTTTAATAAAAAAAAAAAAAAGACTGTAATAAACACAGATATCAACACTCAAAATCGGCCAACTGGCTAAACAAACGCGTACAAATTTAAACTAAAACATGTGCCCAAATAAATTGTTTTTACTTGTAAAAACAAAACATTGCATAGTACCTGAATGTAATTAAAATATGGTAACAACATTATAATGCAAACTTTTTTTCCATAGAAAAGATTGTTTTATATTCAAATATCGTCTTGTAATATTTCAATCAAAAAGAAATTGTATTTACACATCAATCTGTTAGTTTCAAGAAACTGAAATTAAAAAATAAAATGTATTTAAAGTCGTATCTATCACAAAACGAGTTTTGTTGTTAACCAACAAATTAATCGTTAAATAAAAATAAAATACTAAAAATAAAAATAAACAAAACGTAATTAACTTATGTACAAACGTTCCATGTATAAATTAAATATTAGTCTACATGTGTTTTAGTTTTTCTTTATATATGTATAATATTGTAGGTCATTATTAGTATTTTTTTGTAAACAGAATAGAGAAGTTTGAACATTCTGGTAAACAATTTTGGGAGCGCAAATTTTACGAAACAATAACATTTTTTATTATTTTTCTATTTAACAACTAAAAAAAAGGTAATAATAATAATAATAATAATAATAATAATAATAATAATATTAATAATAAATGAAAAAACTATTTTTTAACTCGCATACAAAACGTGTACAATTAATATCGATTTCTTTCTACAAAAAAAAAAAAAATTTCGAATATAATATACCAAGGATTTTTCTGTTACAAAAACATATTTATTTGTGATATAAAACAATGATGAGAAAAAAACATGTAACTTGTAATTATATACAATTTTGTCAAAAACTGGTAAAAAAATTTCATTGTCCTTAACACGCGCGTATAATATAATACAAATAAACCAGAATAGAAATAAATTTCCTGTATATATAAAAAACTATAATTCACAAGGTGGAAATTATATGCGGTAATTATTTTGCGCGCTTAATTTCTTTTTTATAATACCAAATAGGCATCTTTTGGACTTTATACAAAAGTTTTATCTTTAATATTTTCCTAAACCTTAAATTAATTAATATATTAAAAAAAACTATCTTGACACTTGATACATCAGTCGTTACTTAGATTTTGTGGTTGCGTAGATTATAAGGGAGGGAAAAGGTGTATGCATCGAGTATTATTTACACAGAAGTGACATTGGAAAGGATTTGAACGAGGGATCGGTGTAGGGGGGGAGACTAGTTTGGCGGACGTCGCGGTTACTGGCCTGAGGTAGAGGAAATTACGGGTGGTTGTGGGGTGTTGTAAAGGTAGGACAAATATTATAAGTAGGGAGGAATTGGATCGACGTTTGAGATCTGTTGATCATAATATTCGGTTTGGTCTTAGGACCCGTTATCTCCTGTCCCGATACAATAAGTAAACGCTCAGCGACTGTGGCAGATTGAGGTCCATGACCCTTTCTTCTAGGTATTGTTTGCCTATGCGCTGCCTAATGACTCGTCTACATAAGTCCATTAGTGGTAAAGGTTCGGCTGTAAAATAAAATAAAACCCTGTAAGTATATTGTATAAATACAGATTATCAAATGTTAATGACTTACGATCAAGACCGCCAATATATTTCATCGTGATCTCACAGTGACCCCAAACAGCACTAACAATTGGAAATAATTTCCGCCCCTTGAGGCCTCTGAAGGCTACGCCCAAATACTGGCCGTCAACAACAAAGGACAATGTACCCTCGTCCATGTCCAAAACAACTGCAAATTTTAAATTAATTTTAATAACTGCACAATAATTTAGTGACTGTAGCACAAGTTCATTAAGTAATGTGTTAAAGGTAAACATACAGATAGACCACGCCTTATACTTTTTAACAAACACAATTTCAGGCAAAAACTATGTATTCTATGCGCCTATTTTGTTATCATAAAGGTTGGTGTATTTCATATGCCTGTGGGCTATCTTCGTATATTTAATCTACAAATTACATATATTTACCTAAAAATTTATCTGGCACAATAAACGTCTCATCCGGCTTGAGCAGAGCCGGATACGTAATGCCATCGTAGCTCTTTGAATCGTGGTATAATTTGTTACGCCCTAAATCCCAGCCCCATGACTGGTCGTTGCTTCCCACTAAGCTTTGGTAACCGACAGAATGAAGAGGCGCATCTTGAGTCGCAACACCGACCACTGCGTGCGTTCCACGCTGCCTGGTCGACCAGTTGACTTCCCAAACGTGCAGACCTTTGGTTAAGCCAGTCTTGCCTCTAATGCAGTCGGTGCTTTGCGCTACCGGGTGCCTATGGAATGTTAGTTTATCTTCTTCCTATAAAAACCAATCAATTATTAATCACAATCATCTAAGTGGAAGTTAAAAAACAATATATTATAAAATGAAAATTTTACCTTAACAAATATATTTAAAGACCTATCTTCCGCGTTCCAGGCGTGTTTGACTTGTATTTCTTTGGATACCGGCGGCATATCTAATAATATGTCTAGTCTGGCTGGACGAGCAAAGTCTTGGGCCAGTTCTCTGGGTACTACAGGCTTGTATGGTTGCGCACTTTCGCGGCTAACAGTTTTAACTCCACCTGAGAAAAGGAAAACACAAAAAGGAATCGTTAATAATATATAATATAAAACTCAATATAATATACGGCCTACTGTCCACAATCAATTAGGTTAGATTTATCTATCAGGTGGCGGCAGATAGTCGCCTGTCATGGGAAAAAAACACGTAGCCGAAAAACCTAAACCGGGTTCACACACTATAGGGGGTTGCCTATTACCTATTCTACCCTGCTAGCAAAGAAAGCAGTAAATGGCAAATATCGAAACCATTACGAACAAAATTAGAACGATGTTTTAGAAACTATTTAAAATGGCATACACGGCCTACACCTTTGCTAGCAGGACAGTAATTCTCCACCGCAAAATACACACTGCCAACGGTTTCCAAAAATAAGATTCGCGTGGCGGCGACAATAACTCAAAAAACATTCTCGTGGCGGCGTTACTTTCGTCTAAACCTTTCGACGTTATATTATACATTGTATTAAGTACCTATACTTACTCATGCTTTTGCCGACGGTGACGGTGGCGGTAGCGGTGGCGGTGGCGGCCTGATTCGCCTCACACCGCTCGTTACCACCGGGGAAAATCCTGTTAGTCATCGGACGAAAAACGCAAAACCAATATTTTATTTTATTTGACGATCGCCGCTCCACCGCCTGTTACTTTTGACCGCCTCGGACGGAGAATTAAGAAACAGAAAATAGAAACAACGGGATTTGTTCAGCGAAAACGACGCGCCTGTGTGGTATGAATCCTATTTGTTGAAGTGTTTTATCGTGGACTCGATTATATTATTATTATATTTTAACGACTCAGACGTCGAACGCGCTGTGTTCGGCAAACAACTGTTGGTGGCCGTCAACGGTGGTCAGATAAGGAAACGTGTTTTTCAGTTGGAAAAATGGCGAGCGATAAAACGGACTCGCAATAATATTATTGTATTTTTAGTCGCGCAACAACGCATTTTGTATCGGTTAATTGGTACTGCTCGGTGTGTATTGTTGTGTTTCACGTGCGCCCCGGTTACTACATTGCATCTCCGACGGCTGTATACGCCTTCTCCTCCTACCTCCCCTTCCGACAGTTGCCCGCCAACACACACGAGTGCTGTTCAATTGCGTTATCAGCCAAGAACGAGGAAACTCCAAACTTTCGAAACAAGCGTGTGCCAGCCGTTTCGAGTTGCGTCAACCGCGGATATCCACAAACGTGGTTCGACTAGGTTAAGTAAAGCGCGAGGGGCAAGCAAGACGATGTGCGTGGAGGGAGGGTCACGAGGGGGTAGGTTTGAGCCAGCAACTCTTGCACGGTAACCAAACAGTTCATTGGCGTTATCTCTTTCACCGAGTAAGTGCAGTACGATGTTTGCAATACACAAAAGCACAACACTGAATTATAGTCCAAAGAGAATTCAAACCGAAACCTGTGGTATTCCCATTAAAAACATTTAACTAGGTATAAGACAACACATTTAATTAATTATGGACTATTTTTAGTTTACGTATTTTTCTCGGTTAAAATTCAAAATTTATTCTTCCATCGTAGTACCTATACGTAGCACGTGTAGTATGTACTACAGTGTCGTTCATGCGTAAATCAATGAACAACGTCCACATAATAGCTACAGTTCGTGGTATAGTGTATACTTATCGTTGAGGCTATCGTGGCAAAAAGTCGATTACCCCACGTCACAGTAACAGGGAAATCATATTAATATGCTATCAGTGCAATACACGGGAATGCATTCTATAGTGTGTTCGTATACTGTGAACATCGTTACGCCGCGCCGGCGACTTCAATGTCCGGCACAGAAAATACTCGGCGGATTAGTCATCAAGCTCAAGTTTTATTACGGTCTGTGGTGTAGCGGGGCGGCATTGTATTGTATATTTATATTTTTTTTTGGCTCACTAGAGATTTTCTGGCCCATGTTCATGGCCCGGTGGGCTCTGGTCCGTTGTCGGTGTCCTCCTCCAATGCTAACGTACGGCGACGCAGCGTTGCCTTTGTTCAGATGCGACAACACGGACACGGACGCTTTGTAGTTGTGGCGCCTGAGCTCTCTAAGCTCAACGCCCGACGACGTCACACGACTGCTACCGCCGCCAAGTACAGCAGCGGCCGCTGCCGCGCCTAAGTTGCCGCTGGTGCCTACTAATGCACTGCTAGCACCACCCAGAGCACTGCCACCGGTGCCCTTCAGTCTGTAACACACAAAAAGTAATAATATGTTAGTAAACCGTATCAAAAAACTAAACATAGGTACACAAATATAAAAAAATACTTTATTTCTTCCAAAAGAGATGTCACAAAAAATACCGAAAAACACTCAAAAACCCGTCGAGTATTAGACTTACAAGCTAAAAATATAACTGATATAGTCAGTCGAATAGCGCACGTGTAACTGCCACCAATCGTAATGATCATTTTTTTTTTATAACAAACTCGAGATAATTATAATACTATAATCATCATATTCACGTGTCGTGTCGCATTACAAGGAGTTTCGCGTTGCTATCAAAATAAAACACCGGAAAAGTGTTGTGTTTGAATAATACAAATAAGAACCGACGCTTTGTCTGAAAAGCACAAGATCCTGACAAAGAACTGTTGAATGATAAATAACAATTGTAAACAAATGCGGATTTCGTGCTGTGAAATAATACCAACATTGTATAACGATAGGTATTGTTTTAAAAGTTGTAAAATTTAATACGTATAGATATTAATAGCGTTGTCGTAATATTATTTATCTCGCGTTTCTTAAGTCCTTTGGCGTTTCTCAATAAAAATAATTGTTTTAAGGTAATAACTAACGACTATTTTACGACCACAATAATAATATCGACGATAATATACAATATACCATAGGAATGATAAAGACTGTGACTAAACGTTTTTAACCGTTCAAGAATTGACACAGCTCAAGTCGACGACTATTTTGGTACAACTACTCTAGTGAAAGAAATCGAGATTACAAAAAAAAAAAGATGTTTACACATATACAACAACAGCTGTAGATAAGGTTCAGTCGTTAATTTCCATCAAATTCGACAAAAAGCTGTTATTATTTTCTGTAATTCTATAAGGCAAATGTAATTTTGCAACTTTTGGCAACGACGATTTATATTTATTTTATTACTATAAGGTAGTACACGACGTTGGCTACGTAATCGTCGGAATATTTTTAGTCGCGGACAAAAATTAAAGGAGTTAAAATAAAAGGCCTATCGGCTATCGCAAGAATGTCCCACGAATTAATTTTTAACTCGACGTTACGGTTTAGTTGGACCTCTGTATATAAGGAACGAGTGAAAAGAATCTGAGTCTTATCACGTTCATGCACTGTTATCAATAAAAATAAAACAATTTATTCAATAATAAATGAAAAAAAAAAATGTATGACCAAATAATAATAATGCGAATTTTAAACGCGATTCATCACTTATCACAAAAAGCGACAAATCGTTTTCCGCCAGCTGCTCTGAAATCGAATAAAAAATTTAACCGGAAAAAGAACAAAGAATTTTTGTCCAAATTTCTCTTATCTTTTGTTTCCTTCGCGCCGCGATTAAATGAAGTACTCTATGGAAAAAACCGATATTTACTATTATATATTATGTAAACCGGGTCGAGTCGAAAACAGAAAACATCAGAACGGGCAGGAAGCAAAAGCGAATTACAAACTAATACCGTGTTTGGGCCGTGGACCGAAACATCTGCATTAGCGTCTAGACGACGACGCGTTAAGCCCCGTCGGTATACCTACTTAAATGAAAATATTACAACGAAACCACCGAGCTATCTAAGTCTATATTACACTGCCGGTGTAGCCAATCGATTAAACATTAAGAAAAAAATAATAGTAAAACGATTTCGAATTGACCGGCCTGTTAAATGAGTCTTGCAGAGTGGTTATTACAATTTTTTTTCGTCTGGAGAAAACGAGACGCCGACAATGGAGAAAAGAAACTTCAGTTTGGCCGTTACGCAACCTCACGGTTGGAGCGATAAACTGGTTCGGACGGTCTTATAGTGTTCGGGCTAAACTCGTATTCGGCGAATACTGCGCTGATAAAATATGTGTCGACATAGTCTCAAAGTCAAGGTTTGAGATATTATTAAGATCGGATACGCTGCAGAAATGGACGTTTTCGTACGCGAACTTACGCAAGGTCGACGGATTTTTGAACGCGTTTAGAAGCTCAAGAATAATATAGAAACCCCCCACAATTTCCTTTATAATATTATTGCAATCCGTTCTCCTGAAACATAGACCGCAGGTTCCCAAAAAATTTATTTTTATTCGTAATAATAATCACAACCTGGTGCAAATCGAAAAACAGTTTTCACTGGTCATGTAATAATAGCGACGGTCCTGTGACCTGATTTCAGGCTCGGGCATAACATTGAAATCACTTTAATTCGCTGTGTTGGCGCGCTCGTAATCGGTACATTGTTTCAGCCAATGTGAATATTATTAAACAGGCGCAGTCGAGGGCACATCCTTGAAGTCCTACAGAGGACGAAGTAAAATAACCGAATTGACCAACAACTGCAACACTTGCACAGATGGCATAGGTATATGTATACAATATATATGTTTAAATATAATCATACTTAAAGGGTCGACATGCCCGTCACGTGTTGACCTCGGGGCTATTGCGAGACGACGATGCGCGACGGAACACTTATTAAACTTGTGTATAGTTTTTGATTCCGAAAAACATTCTAATATTTATTAATAAAATTAAACGTAAAAGACGTTCTTTTTCACATTCAGTTACAATTTAAGAGGTTTCCGTCCGTTATCCAGCCGGACAGTTTTTTTTTTACTTCGGTACTATTAGTCTTGTAGTTTGTGTAGAGGCTGATCGTGGGTGGCCGCCGAGCCCGTTTCGATATTGGCCAACGCGGCTCTTGGCCACTATTATGCCCGTGTAGGTACTGGCGACGGTCATTATTTATACAATAAAATTGGTTTTCTGGGTTTGAAAATAAACATTTTTTTTACCGACTACACCGGCGTCACATATATTATGCGTACGTGTTTTTTTTCAATTCAAAATAATAATAATAATTATTATTATATTAGCTTACGGCGCCGTTTATTGTTGTAGTAAGCTACAAACGGCCGTGCTGTTGTGAAAACAAGTGAAAGTGACAGCGGCGCGCTATCGCGTGTACAAAGCAACTGCGGATGGGACTCAAGGATAGCCAAACTGCCGAGTAAAACGCTCGATTTTTGAATGTCATACAAGCCACTAAGGCTTGGTGGTACTGTACGCACAATAATGAAGAAAATACGTTTTAACTTACATCGGCGACTGCGGTTACGTGTCATCGATGTGTGTACAAAAAGTGTAATATTCTGAATCGAAAAAAAATTGTTTTCATATTATAAATATAATTATCATTATATTATGCATGATAATTTCGATGTATTAATTTATTAATACGAATATTAATTATTGCGCCTAAACCACAGACAGTCGATCGGGCTGAATACATATATTTTTCCTGAGCGTTGAAAATGTTATTTGAGTTTTCATTGGCTAAAACACAATTATGACCGAGGGAGAAGTCAACGGACAATTTGCTTCAGACCTTGCTGCCACCGCCGCCGTATAATGTCAACCGGACTCATGTAAGACTTCGTCGAGAGCCTTATTTTATAATTAAAATCAGCGAGCACGTACAAGACCGAAGAGGGTGTCGACGGTATGTCGGAGGGGCTGGTAGAACTTTCCCATGTGTGTGCACACGATCCAGGGTGCGGTGGAAGTGCGTGGGCCACGGCAGGATATCCCGACTGCATTTGCAAATTTAATCCCGAAAAAGCCCAGAGTCCCTCCAAAAACACAAAAGGGGCCGAGTATCGATTCGCGAACGGGCCCTTTGGAAATCATGACTCATCGAGGGAACAAGCCGCGGGTAGTGAGCAGCAACTTTTATTTTTTTTACACACAAGGACCGATTTACTGCTTCAGACTACAATACCTAATATTACATGTGGGTTTTTTCACTTATTTTTTTATTATTAAAATATCCTAACGGTCACCGGTCGGAACCGTATTCGTCGGACGGCCCCAGTTTCCCCCCGGAGGAGAAAATCGTTACGGTCAGCTGCGCCGGTACAGAAGAAATCGCTTTACGACCACGGGCCATGGCGGCCAGAAAATGCCGTTGGAAATCCAATAACCTACAGGCCGGCTAAAATCGTGTCATTGCAAAAGTGAACGGCGGGGCCGCCCTGCCCGTCTTTCCATCGATATCATAACCAGCGTGCGGCGGCGGTGGCGGCATTGGCGTTACGTACGTTCACGTAATGTATTATACTATTCAAGCCGCTTTCTCCCGCTGCCGCCGACGTTATTACACCGGTAACTGGTTCATTACCGACGACGGCAGCGACGGGATGCTCCGGTTGGCGCTTACAGAAAATGATAATATTATTATTATTACCTATACAGGCCACACACTTTTACTTTCTCCCTGGCCTGTGTGTCCTAGATGGGGCCCGCCGAAAACACGAGCGACTGCCGAGGAATTTTTTTGCGCAACAAGAAACTGTACTCGGACCACGGCGAGAGGGGCACCACGAGAAACGAGACTACATACAAAGAGAAACCGTACTATATCGGCTACACTGTAATATACACGGAGAACGGATAGAAACCCGAGAAGTGCTGCTGCACACATGTGATTCCCTCACAACAGTTTCTCGTAGATCGGCCGACCGACACCGGTAGAACCGTACATATTGTATTTGTATTATATACCAGTTTCGGTCGTGTACACCCGTAGCCGCATCCGGGGCTCGAACCCCGAAACGACCATATGGGTGAAACGACGTTTCATAGATAATAATAATAATAATAATAATAATAATGATGATAATAAACGAATACGCGCCGTTTGGTCCGTGTCTATCGCCACTGCGAATGTCCGGTCGAAAACATACGCACATTCGTACGTACAGTATACAAATTGAAGAGCAGAGGGAGAGAATACACACACCGTATGGCCGGACACGCGAGCCCGAGAAACAGAAAAAAATAATATTTGTAATTGCCTCGAGCTTATGTACGAGTAGAATAATTACAGAATTTTATTCAAATGAGATAAACATGCGTCGACCGTTCTCAGAAGCGTGCCGTTAATGCCGTTTATATTGTTATAATTATGTTTTAGGCGTTACGACATAAAATTGTGCGCCTAGTGCACGCGCCAACTATAACACTACTTCCTCATCCCGCCAAAGGTCATGCGCAATGGGGTGATAGTACTGCGGCAATGGACAACTCGACAACGAGAGACGACCACGGAAAAACCATCCATCGATCGTACGTCGAAACGACATTTTTTCTCATTTTCATTTTACGACCCCCCCTATAGCCTTACGCAACCTAAAGTCGGGGACGGAGGATTTTCACGAAATTACCCAACGGGGTCACGGGTTCCGCTCTGAAAAACGGTCGACCATGAAACGTAACTCTTTTTTTTTTTGAGTGAAAGTCGAATCGTGTTACGCTGCTCGACGGGTGGCGGCGGTGGTGAGAGGTTCGAGTCGTGGACAACGAGGACGTGGGACGCCGCCGCCGCTTTTGTGCTCGTGTAATAATATTATTATTATTATTTGGACGACACGCGGGATACTAAACGCACACAAAAGGACGGACGCGCCGGAGAAAGTCAACCGAAGAGTAGGCGGCGGCATCTTTTCCCAAACGCTTAGATGATTTTTTTTCCTAGCCGAGACAACCATGTATATCGGTACGAGACGCCAAGGACTCGCGGACGCGATTTCAAAAAAACCCCTTCACTTTACACCGCCGGGTGCCCATATATGGATAACTTTGACAGCTTTTGGGCGTGTGCGGCACCGCGCGTTTGGGAACCAATGCCGGTCGTTATGCGTACGCGATTATCGTAAAAGATATATTACGCGACCGACCGCCGTTTTTCCCCTTCGAAAAAAAAAAACCGTCCTGAGAAAAAAACGAAATTTGAAAAATAACAGGTGCGCACTATAGAGCCTAAGCGACACGCACTGGTGAACGTTAACCGTAACACAGAGGGCCACTCGTACACGCCATAATAATATATCGAGGGCATTGTCCGATGAAAATTAATATTGGGTACTAAAAACTTGATATATTGATGAATTTATTTCAGAATTTGCTTTGATCTACGATGCAGCACTGACAAGGATGTTTACTATAAAGTAGTTTTTAATTTGGCAATCACAAATACAGTAGGCAAAAAAAATAGCCGGTTTATTTCTTCGTTGGAGCCCAGCAAATGACCAATTTAATAAAAATATGGATTTTATTGGGGGTTTATGCAAACCATAGAATCAAAATGTTTTTTTTTTTAATAGACCCGGGTTATTGTCAAACACTATTGCTTTAATTTTGTGGTATACATAATATACTATAATATTATTATTTAAGTACAAATAGTTTTATCGCGTCGTTATTTATTTTTGCTGTCGAGATAAGCATCCGACAATGACGACAACACTTACGACCGCCAAGGTCGATGAACGTTTATGCACAATTCTCAAGTCACTTCTGTTGAAGTACAAGACTAACAGAATCGGAATTCGGCCGAGTCCGACTAAAAGCCTTTGACGAGTTCGTTTTCCGTCAAACCGACAAGTCTAAGTGTCTACATTAGGAGGGCCTTTTCGGACTCGCGTCGTATTCTTGCAAACTCGAGTTGGAACATAAATCCGTAACCGTTCGGTTTACAACTTGCCGGGGCCGTGAAACTTTATGACCGTGGGCGCCACGCCCCAAATCGGGGAGAGTAACAGTAATGTTCGCCGGTTCACGGGTGGGTGTTGCTATGGGGATGGGGCGCCGTCACCCCGCGGTAAAAGCTTTATCGATACTGGAACTCATCTGGCCCGAGAGCACATCTTCGCAGTAACAAATACGGTTCTGTAAATAGTCGACTATACAGAAGAGACAATTGCAGGCAACTATCACTACAAGTCTGTTGTTTACGGGTTTTATAAACATTTTCCGGCGGCAGAAATCTACTCAGGCCGCGACAGTGACCGGTGTCGTCGCGGACACACGCCGTACAATATATTCATATTCGTAATATAATATAATTTGTTATTATTATCGGCGTGACGAAACTATCGGATTTTTCGTTCCGAAAATCGAACTAGACCTTCGCGGGCGAGGCGGCGACGACAACGGCCGGCGGATCGCGAATGCCAAGGCCGTTGCGTGGCCATCGTTTGTGTATAGCACTTCTGCTATTATATATTATTATATTTTCATTATTTTGACTCATGCTCCAACAACAAATAGACCTCACACTCACCCAATGAGATTCCACAATTCTCTAACAGAATCTTTAATGTTAGCGTAAGCGGCTTCGTTTAAGCCCAAACATACTGACCTGAAACAAAACAAAAAAAACAAAAACATTAGTCTGATATCGTTTTTAGCAACACAATATGATTTTTTTGTTTTAATTTAGTTCTAGAGAACCGGGGCCTATTATACATAATATATTTTGTGTTATAACATTCGGATAGTCAAGTATAGGATCGCGCACGCACAGCATCGGTCCACCGACGCAGATTTCATTGTTAGCCGGACAATTTCCACGAAGACGACCGAAGGACTTCCTGGTTCTTAAGCGAGCACGGCAGCACAAGGCCGGCTCCAATATGGGCAACACAGTAATAGTAATAATAAAAAACCCATCGGTCATTACTAAAACTCAAGCCAAGTTGGTTGCAATTGCTATTTACGCGCGTGTATCTAAACCTACTCGAGAGAGCAATAAGTTTTCTCGTCGTTATGTCATCAAGGAAGAGATACATTAGCTCACGGAGTCGTTACCTGCTACTAAGGACACAACAACGTTGGCGATGGAAACGATAAGTTCCACTGTCAGTGCCAAGGTGAACGGTTTCGCAACGTAATTCGTTAATTATATACCGACGTTGTATTACAACACGTTGATGTATTGTATACAATAATATTCTGTTTTGTTTATGAAATAGGTTTTTACAAAAGCTTATCCGCCGAAAATCTCTACGGGGAAGTATAAGTTTAAAGGCGTTATGCCGAACCGGCAGAACCGATTTCAATTGTTTTTTTCGAAAAAAAAAAATAAACACTATTACCAGTATGAACGCGGCACAAAAAGCTTTGTACTGTGACGTTGCCGGCAGTTATACCTTAGTCATACAAAGAGTGGGAGTTCAAACGGTTCGGTGACCACGCGGAAGAGGAATAATAACATAATGATATTTATGTATACACAGAGACGGTTCAAGACGGATAGTCATGCATTATGTAAAACGCGTTTCACGGTATTAATTCATCCTTTCTCTCTTTTTTTTTCGCGTTTGACTGAGTCTGACGAGAAAGATTCGACGTTTGTCAGACTCGTGTGTGTAGCACTTTCGTGTATAGGCAACATGCACGCGACGACAGGGTCAGCGCCGAGGATAGAGCGTATGGTGTATTCCTATGTTTAAAACGTGATTTCCAGAAATCGGGCGAGCCGCACAACTCTTTATTTATGATAGTTTTACCGTGCGGGGTTGTTCACAGACGGTTCTACCTGGGACAACGAGAGCTCGAGGTTAACAACGTCGTGGGGCGGAAACGTGCACGTTGTGTTTTCGGGTGAATTCCTCGGGTACTACTAGCATTTTTTCCCGTCCCCGTAAACGCATTATATATATCCTCGGTCTTTCTGTATACTACACACAATATAGCGGAACACGAGACAACAAAGAAACCAGGTGTGACGTCACCCGAACCACCAGCCTTCAGATCGTCGTAGTCTGGCCTTGGCGGACGAGAATGGTGCTGAGCTGCGGTGGTGAGAGAATATACAGCACATACACAACACACAATAACCTAACCGGTGTGCGCGTTGGTCCCCCTCCTTATTCGAGGGCCGGTGTCCGGGGCCTTGGCGGACTGAGAAATAAAAACGCGCCGGTCGCCGGTGGTGAAAGAGAGGCTAAATGGGGCTATAGTCACTCCCCCCCTCCCATCGCGCCGCTGGCCGTCTTTATTTAACAATACAAATGACTGAGCCCAATGTTCGCCGTTTCTAGTCGTACATACACACAACTAAGCGTTATATAATACATATTATTATAATATTTTATTTGCATATATGTGTTGCGTATATATTATCACACGCTTAGCTGTACAGTTTTTTGTGTAGCTGATAAGCACCGTTGGTGTGTGAGCAAAAGAGACGATAACTTCGCGGAAGATGATAACGTTTCGTCGGGCCCACCGGCGATAACCACCGCCGCCGCCGTCGTATAGACTAGTTAGTTATTATTATGTATTATACATAACATTATGAGAATATGACGCGAAAAATGGTTTTCTCCTAAAGTGAACAATACACGCACGCAGACGCCGGAGTCGCTTAAAATATGAAACGTAGGCGATTTCTTGCTACCAATACAATACCTGAGACTATCCCCCCCCCCACTCAATTGACGTTAATTCCTAAGCATAACGGTGTTTTGTTACAATGCGGACGGCGATCGAGTAAAAAAAATATATATATATCCATCGAAACGGTGTCGCGTTACCCTCCCTTCAAAGCCGAATCTCGTTGTAGAGTTCCACTTGGAAGACACTCTCAACTATGGACGTTGAAGAAACAGATTAAAAAATATTGGACATAACACGAGCTGTCAGACACCATGACCCAGAGATAGACACCATGACCTCTCCGAGGACTCGATACTACTTTGAGGCAGGATTATGTCTTTGTGTTTCAATCGGACTTGCTCCAAAATCACGAAACTCAAAGCGGAGCACGACTTTTCCAATTTTGAGAAATGTGATTAAGCACATTTCCAATTTGCAAACGCTGCCGGGGTTGCGGGCGGTTATTAGAAGGCGCTTAAGGGGGTGACACGGTTGGCGATTCGAGAGGGGGGCTACTAGTTTTATAACTACTTGGCGTAGACCACTGTCGCCGGGCAAGGCCACCCGTGATCAAGGTCACTTCCTTTTTGCCGTCACATGCGACCGCGTTTTCCCGTCCACCGCCGTGGCTTTCCCGGCAATGTCGCAACCGGTTGCGCAAAACCAAAATCGCGCCGCAACTACCGGCTGTATACACCGAGACACTAAACTGCTCAGTACAATATAGTATATACTTATGGTTGGCACATACCCTTGACTCAGTTGCGACTAGGCGCCACCGAATGTCACGCGCATTTCCTAACTAGGCCACACACAAAATGACAGTTACCAGTTTTCCTCAATTACCGAATGTCTGGTTAAGATACTATTATCTTGTACACGAGATGTCGAAAGGCGAACTGAAAGCAAAATAATTAACACCTAATAGCCGAAGGTACAATTACCCTGAACGACACCTCACGAGCTGGTTTCGCCAGGTCATTAGCGCGCGGCTTCGCCAAACTACCAACTGGCGAAATCGTAAACGTTATAGAGTAGGTGATGCCCATTGACGGACTTCGAGCTTAGACTCAAATAATAATAATACTCACGGTGGTAACAAAGTGGACATTTCGGTTTGAACGGAATGGTAATCGCGTTCCATGATAAACAACCAAATTCAACTCGTAGGAAATAATAAAAATGAACACCGACGGCAACAGTGTTCGCCGAACAACGTAGTATGTAGCACCACACGACGAAAGATTATTAAATAAACGTTACACCGAGTCGAAAACGCACCACTGTTGTACTGAGAGAGCTAGACGGCTAAGGAAGAGACGACGGCAGACGACTAACCGCCCTTGACACAGACGGTGGGAACCAAAGCCAAACAGAAATCCTCTTCTTTTATTGTTGTCCTCCCTCTCTCTCTTTCTTTCTCCATCAGACAACCGGTATTCCGACACGGGGAACCCTTTCACGTTCGGGGTCCGTAACCGTCGAAGGGATATGATAATGTCGTCCTAATGGTGTCATCGCACCGCCTTTCTTTAACCGGATCGAAGGGTTCGAAAACACTGCGGGTTCTCAGCCGTCGCTGTACGCATCGCCGTTTACCGTTTGGGCACCACTGTCGGGAATTTGTCCCGCATGAGGGATCCCGTTGTAAACGGTATCGCTGGGGTTTACCTGGGGGCCCCCCTATATAGACAATTATTTTCTGTCGCCCTTCTTAAGGTGTGAATCATCCGATATCCACGGCGACGACGACGTCAGCGAACAACAGCTGATCGTTATAAATACCGGCGAGAGGTCAATAATTATAATTGAAAACGATTTTGCGTAATAGGGCGGCCATCATCAGCTGCTGCTGACCGATTGGAGAGTCCGAATGTCGGCCATAGAAAATAGAAGAAAAAAAACATCAAGTGGACCGATTGTGCTCGATTAAAGGCCGCCTAGACCGGCAAGGTGATGACGGAACGGGCGGGGGGAAGTTTATGAAAACTGAACACACATTCCCAGGGCGTACGAGTCGAGGCGACCAGCTGCTTGTTCCGCACAGCTGTGCTATTTTGCATACTTCAAAGGAAAAAAATCCCATACATCGTTATGTTTGTGTTTAAACGTAATCCGTACGCGTTGACGACTACGTTAACCTCGTACGTACAATAATTTCGTATAAACTAATGTCAAACGTGTAACGGGCCAAGTACAAAACAAATTAATTTAGATCGGTTACTCATACAGATAATTTGACTGCTAAGCGCGCGGACGACAAATACATACCCTAACGGCCGACAGACCGAACAAGTCTTTTTGTGGTCCGACTATTAATAGGCAAAATACTAACTAAAACACTTATGGCGCATACGATTATTGGCAAACTAGTTCGGGGACGTACGTCGGACAATAGCTTTTGCCTATACCGTTTAACAATGAATTTCCGTTCAGTTTTGTATTAATTTTGTTTTCCGAATACAGCTACAACAATGGTGGTGCCACGATACTCTTAAGTATTATTATTTTTTTAAGGGCAATGTTGCAGTCGACAAAGTATATATATTTCGTGAAGTAGGTACCTTGACCCGCATAATGACTTCTTCGTTGTCATAACATTTTACAGAAATATACACACACGCACGGTACATGGTTAAGAATTATAATTATTGGATACGCGAGTAAGAACCTGGGCGGCCTTGTCTGAAAACGTCATGATACACGCGTCGGTTATAATACACCAGGGCGGTCGGGTGGGGATAAAACAAAAACGCGCACCAACAACAAACGGAACCGATTTTACTCGACAATCGTCATAAAACAATAATATCGATGTAACGACAAATGAATAATATCGGCGGTACCGGCCAGAAAGAGGGGAAGGGTTGAACGGTTTTTTCTTTCGTGTGTCAACTCGACCGAAAAACGCCGCCGAATGATTTCACTTTTCACTCGAAACCGCCAGCCAATTTCTAATGGCGCGAGAAGAAAAAAAAATAGACAGAAAATTAGGCCAAGGCGGCCGAACTAGTGTAGCCACGACACGTTCGTGTCTGACATACAATTTTTTTGGGAACAAATCTGATCGAGAGGTAACGTTGTTTTTTTTTTCAAAGGGACAAAAACGCAAACCTTATACGACGGGATAACAGGTACACATATTGATCTCTCCGTTTAGAGTCAGGCGTTTACACAAACTTTTGTTATTCTACTATAGTGGGTGTCTGTGTTCAAGAAGTCTGTGTATAGGCCGCTGCTATTGCTCGGGGGGCAAAAAAAATATATATAAAATTCTATGTGTTATACAGAAACCACCTGGCGATCATCATATACCTGTCCCTCCTTGGCCGTCGGGTGCCCAGGTGTGTATCGGACACACACAAAAGGTAAAATGTTGAAGAGACGGCTCGCATGCATGTGCATTTGGGAGAAGGCGGTGTAGGTGGACGAAAAATATATAGGTACGGACAGATGTATACAGACGGATCGATTATATTACACAGTGATAAGTGATAACCGATGTGCGATAAAATAAGTTTTACGGTCGACGACGGCAGTTGAATGTTATTAAAAAGAATCGAGTCGGGTCAATACAGATATCGACGTTTTTTCCTAATCGAGCGGCTTATAATGCTCCCATACAAATATATATGTACGCAACGATCAAATAACACTCAATATAACTATAACTTATATAGTTATATAACTATAAGATTCATCGATTGTCTAGATATTTAATACATACTGTCATTGTAAAATGTAATTTATGTCATCATTATGTACTGAAAAATATAAATATTTAAGTGCATTATGATAATATATAGACTTATCTTGGTATTAATGCTTATTTCTGTTTATACTTTAATAATTCAGCAGTACACTGGGTTTGAATTTTATATTTTCTAGGTCGGCGTCGGCTGTTCAATAACTCCATGCAACGCACATGTCACTAATGCAAAGCCAACACAAGTATAACTCAATTGAATGTTTGATATTATTGGATGGATTTTCGGGCCTGGAGTTTTCGCCAATTTACCCTGATGACGAGTTCGCCACCGGGACGATACACGCAAACAAAGGAGACACGTGAAGTTTTGGGAACACATCTACATTTTTTTTTTTATAACCGACGAAGCCCAGTTCCTGTAGTCTCTACTTTGTGTATGGTGAATGACAGCGGACAAGGACACGGCCAAAGATTTTTAGGCCCGTATAGTGCGTTGCGAGTTGCTGCTGCTGTGCTGTTGTAAACGACAGCCAGACTGAGTATATTATAACATTATATTATATGGTGTGCGCGCGCCTGGAGATAATAAACAAAGGACGGCTGCACAGATGGCCGACGCACGATGCGGCAACGTGGCCGGAGGCCCTCACCAACGTCGCCGCGTGCGTGTCAAGACTGAGCAATCGCTCTGCGGCGTAATGATTCTCAAAAAAAAAAAAAATCCGAATTGCCTCGCATTTTGGGAACCTTTAGTAGACCTACGCACACAAAAACGATGGGAAGACGACGACATTACTTTACGCGAAGGGTCCACCACAAGCCGCCGTCGAATGGATCTCCGACATGGGGTGCGCGGCTGAGCTCCAGTACAAAAACCCAATGCACTCAACAACCGCTATCGTATCCCTATGCTCCTTCCCCCGGCTCCGTGGATGGGTCGTTAACGACATTTCGCTCTCTTTCTTTCCCTTGGGATTCGCGTTTTCAAGTCATATTATAATAATAATTGGCAAAGAGTATAATGAAGACGAGATTTACCAGCCCGCCCCAAGCGTTTTCGGAATTGTAAATGCCTAAATAAATTTATAGGAGATAGATTTGAAGCCGCGCAGATTATCAAATGATGGCAGATCTTATTATACTAATTTAAGTTTTATTAAACGCCAAACGGCAATTTCAAAAGAAATAACATTGTCATAGACAAATGATAACACAGAGAGCAAGACAAAAAAAAAACAAAATTAGTAAAAGATATTAAAAAAAAAATAAAAAATGCGTTAGCTAAGAGCATAATGGCTCGTATATAGGATTTATTGAGTAAACAGAGCATTCTGTGGAGGGGATGGCTGTGACCATAGGAGGTATGATAAGGTGGTACATAAAATAGGGAGTGGTTTCTCGTGGGGTAGCCTGGGACACGGATTAAGACTGAGAGAGCAAGCCAGGAGCATTTATGGAGCCATTAAGGAGGAAATAAATAAAAGAAGCGTCAGCATCAGTACGGTGTGAGTCAAAAGTAGGAATGTCTAAAGAGAAGCGAATGATGAAGTAATAATGAAGAGGGCGTGTAATCTTAAGAATAAAAACAACATAAGATAGAAACCGATTTTGGACTCGTTCAATACGGAGTTGGCTACAAGCCAAATACGGGTGCCAAACCACCACACCGTATTCCAGAATGGAATGGATTAAAGAGAAATAAAGCGAACGGATACATGTGCTGGATGAGACCGGTATTTCGCTTTATAAAGCCCAAGAATTCAAGTGCTCTTACCTATAGTGATGTTTATGTGGTGAACAAAAGAAAGATGGAGTGAGGTAAAATCCTAGGTCTAACTGAGAAAATGTGTTCAATGAGTCAGTAAGTCATTAAGGAAATAAGAATGGTAAAGAGGTGAGCGACTTCTGCGAAAGGACATAGTATGCCATTTATCGAGTCAGCCCAACACACGATGGATCCAAGTGCAAATATGATTCAATATCAGATTGCAAGTCATCGCAGTCCGCAGCGGAACTGACTTTCGTGTAAATTTTAATATCGTCAGCAAATAGGAGAACTTTAGAATTGGTGAGATAACTGCTAAGATAATTGATAAAAAGGGGACTGAGATGAAAATAATGGAGAAACATTTGGATTGTCATTCGAAGTCCGTATAAGTCGTACAACGACAAAATAGTCACGAATCGGGTCAGACCTTTGTTGACTGGTAACTCCATATCGTCCATATCATTGTCCTTTGTCGACACTCTAGTATCGATAAGGTCATTTCAGATCCCAAACCGTCCTTTTTGGACAGTGGCCCAGCCCGTCTCGTCGCCTCACTTTGTACACCGCAATTTCTGTTCTATTTATCTTGCCTTTCCCATGAAAACACGACACCTTGACGACCAACATGCCGGCGTGAACGGGCCAACCCATTTAAATTTGATACGGCCAATACCTATACGTGGTTTTCAACGGTGTGGACGCGAGGATAGCCTATTTGTGGCACGACTTAAGTATAATGTCATATGAAAAAATACAAATAAAAAATACGGCACGGCACAACATTTAGTCTGGACCGTCTAAAGCATACAACAAAACACCACAGCTTCAACTCTACAGTGCAGTTATAATGGTCCCTCATACCGATATTGACGGCGGCGTGTGCTGAGTGCATTTCTCGTATAAACGTTAAACCATTCATCACGTTGAACACAATGCACACACAAACCGAGGGGAGCTTTTTTTGTTTTTTAATGCGTTCATACACACACACGCGCGTGATACGTTTCTAGTGCACACATACACACACCCCTTTCGCCTGCAGAGGACGTTGCGCAACCCAACCGTTACAATAAAAAGGGGAGACGGTCGTCGTTTTGCGTACGCCGCATAATAATTACACGCAGCAGTGCCGGTGGTGGAGGAGGTCAACGTCCCTGCGGCTCGTGCTGACCACCACCGGGCGCCCAAAGATAATAATTACATTAACCGGCCACCGTGGTCGGGCGGAAGCGAAAAAAACTTTCACTGGCAAACACAAAATTTTGTCGTCCTTTGTGTGTGCGCGCTTCGAAAAACACGCGGATGGCGAGCGCAGCTGTTGTGTAACGCTACGGCTGTGTCCCCTCCCCGGAGTCCCCGGCGGTCAGACGGAAAAGTAATAAAAAGAGAACGGCTGCGTTTGTGTGAAGCGCACCGCCGGGGATATGGGTTCAAGGGCAACCGAAGCGGTTTTTTCAAGACCGGTTCAACAAACGATGGCGTCCGCAATCTCGCGCCGTGGCCGTCGTGCGAGCGCGTCAAGTTCCCGACAAACGCCACCTGGTAGGGGTATACGGCCCCGGTGCTTCCGCCGAAGGGCGCGCCGCCTGACGCGGGGGCAAAACGACTAAAGCAGCACGGCGGCGGCCGTCCGTTATCGGCGGTCGCGTGATAACACAGACCTGAGCCAATTCAAGTGTTTCTAAAGCCCCGAGATTGTTATGCGAAGTGGACACCCGCTAAAGTACAAAGAAGTAGAGGTGTCTCAGTCGTATTTACCTAGTCTCCATACTGGTGACGGTCGTGTTGTACAGTTGTATCCGGCGGTGATGTCTGAGGTGATTGGCGGCTGCGATAAACGCGGGCGGCAACACGATCGGTCGGAAGCACGGCGGGCCGAGCACATACGGCACCAACAACACTACGGAGGCGGTACCGTCACACCGGCAGACCCTACGCGATGTTGGCGACGGAGTCAGGGGCGAGCACGACAAGTCGTAACAATTACTCCTCGGGGTACCACCGACGAACTGCAGACGACTACCACCGCAGTAACAGCAACGCGCGGTCGGGCTATCCACCACAGGCAACCAGAAGAGCGTCGTAGCAGTAGCAGCTGCAGCAGTACTCGAAGTCGCTGTCGTCGCACCAGAACTCGTCGTCGCTATACAGTGGCGAGTCGGTAGGACCACTGCTGGCATGACAAACCGCGCGCTCAACACGAACTGGCCGGCCTTACGGAATCACGGTGTGCTCGCCGTCAGTCCGCACGCATATCGCGCGCTAGCGCCGCCACTATCGATTGTTTTATCGTCGGCTAACCACGTCGCCACCACTCGGCCCCGATCGCTATACGTAAAACAACCGTTTTGGTCTCCCCTCCACAGTGCACACGCCGTCGGCTATCGATAGAAGTAGCAGCCGGGTATCGATATCACCGGCGTCGACAAAGATCGCCGTCGATTGTTTTGTTGTTACGACGAGAATGTTGTGAGTGCACGCAAGTGACGGCGGCGGCATTGCATGCACGAGCAGTGTGCCAACAGCTGCGCAACGCCCTGCCCGTGTTCCATTGTGACGCCCTTGAATTGCCGTCGCGTTCGGCGGGAGGGAAACGCGCTCAGGAGGGGAGTGGAGGGGCGGGGGGGCTTTTTTTTACGGTCGACGAATTCAAAAATATTATATTATTGTATTTTTTTTTTTTACTGTGGTACTCCTTGCCGCAATAATAATTACTACCAAGTACCGCAGAACAAAACAACAAAAGATTATCATTTTATTATTGACAAAAACATGAATACCTTTTCAGCTTTGCAGTTTTAGAATACATAAAAAACGAACGATATTATAATATATTAATGAATAATAATAAAAAGTATAGCATAAATGTTGATTATCTCGTCAAACGCAATCAAGCCAACAACAAGACGACAGCGATAATGCATACGAGTTTTCTATATTATCAACGCACACACACGTTGTGATTATATTTTTAAGCCAAATAAACAATTATTAAATAATACGACAATAATCTCGACGAAAACCATTACCAGCGTAATTATTACACTTCAGGTTCATCCAGCGAACCGACACGGCGATGAATACTAATTTTTTTTTGTTTCTACTACAAAACATTTGTGCGTTTAACGACAATGCGCATTATTATACAACAATATACAAATCAAGGTTGCAAAATTCGTGTTATTTTTTTTTGCCGCCGCCGCCGAACACCATTGTTTTAAATCACGCCAATTTCCTGATATCAAAACCGTCGACTAAGAAACTCGGAGAGCAGCTAAGGAGATAAACGATTTTGCGCATGTCATTAAACAATATTTGAAATACATTATTTTTTACCCAGCCTAACTATAGTTGCTGCTCAGTTTAACGAACACTGTGGTCTTTTTATGTCTAGACTGAGTTTTATGACCACTTTCATAAATGTTTATTAATAATCATCGGTAGACTAGTATTTCTCATTAAGCAAAATGTACCTTCAATGGCCTTCAAATTTTAATTTAAGACAACGGGCCTCGAGATCTAATTTTTTATATTGTGGGGCCATATCTAGTAGAGGACAGGACGCTCTTAATCTCATCTCAGGCGTCAAAATATCTAATCACGTTCCGGCAATCGCTTAAAATCACGTCAGATTTATATATGAATTAGGACTTGCGTGAAAGTGGTTTTATCTGCTTGTCGGTTATTTTTAGGGCAACTCGCGACAAAGGCAAGCTTATTAACAGTAAAACTTTACATAGGTTTACACACAACGAACAATCGATTACTGCGAGCTAGTAATTGTGAACAGTCGCGAGAGAAGGGTCGTCTTTTTCATTTCGAGGACAAGACTTGCCCAGAGAAACCACCGCTGCAGTTTTCGGATTTTACATAATATCACAAGCGGCATTTTCCCGTAGAAAAATACACAATTAACAATAGGCGTGTGTGTGTGTGTGTTTACATATTATATTAACGTTACAATGCTTTTGTGAATAATTCGTTAGCACACAACCACCACCACTGGCTTTTCTCATCACACGGCCACGGTCTTAGCTACACGCGCGCGTGTGAAACAGTCGGCATAACCACCGGTTATATGCGCCACGGACTCACGTGTAACAATAGTTAACTATTTAATTTTCCACAGCGAAGACTCGCTATAAAGTAAATCCGTCATTATGCTCGATTCCATGAAAACCCCGATTAATGATGTAATACAATGTATTTTTGAAAAACGTACAGACAACTAATTCCGGCGAGATCTCTTCGAAAACACCTTATCGAGGTACCGCTGGCAATCGCTTTTCCCGGTATAAACTTCAAAGAACAATAGAATTAGTTTCGGACTTGAGACCGTATCGTTTTCAGTGAAACGTAAAAAAGACAAGATAAACACGATTAAAACAAATACAATGTATCAGCATTGGTTCACGGGCAGTCCATCCACCGACATACCCTATAACTATGTGTACTAATTTAAGAGTGGGCAAAGGCTCAAGGGGAAAAATAATACCCGATCAGTCTTTCCTCGGTCGCGAAGTCGCGTTGTCGACGAGAAAATAAATCAACTGTCCCTTTCCACGACATTCGCTGTCGTTAGTATACCTAACAACAATAATCGTCGCTTAAGAAGCAACACTACTTGTCTCACATTTTAGCCAAATTTGTAACACTGTTTTACTCAAAATACTTGAGATTTACGAATAAGACACGCTAAATGAATAATATTATTGAAAACTGTTTTTTTAATAAAAATGAAATGGGTGGTGTTGCTACTTGAGTGACGAAATATAGTAAAATTATTATTATACCATCAGGTATACGGGGCAACGGGTCTATTTCATATTTTTTTTTTTTTATATTCTGCACGTCCAAATAACTTTCTCGGTCTTTTATACTCCCGTCTAACGTTACTACCCCATTAATAAACCATTATAATGCATAGTACACCTTTTTTTTCTTCTTCTATTATTGAACATTTTTTTTTTTTTTTAGCAACATCGTGGGCCCAACTCTATTTGGTACGTTTCACCACGCCGCTACAGTCTTTTAGATTTGGCTCGATCGTCTTGGAGAGGAAAACAACATTGAATTCTCCACTTGCCGAGATTCGACGGCGAATCCCACGTCCGTCTCGTTTCGGTCGTTCTCCGATAAAATGTGCGCCAACTGGCAACGAGTCGGCCTCTTCTCGACAAATCGTTGGGCTCTCTTTTCTTGCCCACCCCTCCCCTCTCCTACTGTTCACTGTCGTGACTCAAACACAAGCCGAAGCAAACGCCAAAGTCAAAACAAAAACGATGCCAAAAACGGAGACGGCCTAAAGACTAATGCCACCGCCAGCGACGACCGGCGAAACAACGGTCGACAAGTTTGGTTCGGATCCAAAATCTAGAGGCGGTGTACACATAGTAAGTTGTCAAAAAGTAAGTCACCTTTTCGACCGCGGTATACTCGTTGAAAGTCACGTGTTTTTTGTGTACATAAAAAAAAAATGACCGATTGATCATTGACCGAACCGGTGTTTGGTCTACGAGACCTAGGAGAACAAGAACACACGGTAACCGTAGATTTCAGATCGACATAACAACCGACTTGGTGGAAAAAAACAACGGTTTGGTCTTATTAAAATAGCCACTTGTAATCGACAACAATAATTCGAACCGTTCTGTGAAATAAAGGCGTACTAACTACTAAGTATACATAATAATATAGTGTACGTTCTATTGCTTAGAACTCTTCATTGTAGTGTCTATATAAAGGTACCCGCACATGGTGGCTACACAAGATTATGTTTGCGGTCTAGCAAAAACACATAAACGCCCAGAAGCGGATATAAGATATCCCTACTGTAAATCTGCTTTTAAGCCTCCATTATTTTTTTGTTCCCTTTCCCGAGAAACATAGGGGTAATGCGATAACGCAATAATCATTGCGGAAAAAAATTTAAATCTTTCATAATTTATCTAATAAACTATAATTTTTTTGTTAAGTACATAATATTATACTGTGCTGATATTTACTATTTCTCAAGATATTCGTTTAGAAATTGTTGTTTAAAACAGTGAAAACGAGTAAATCGAATATTTACTATTTCGCGCATAGTTAACTTAAAACCGTTTCCTAACTTGGTTAATTACATAAATAATTTATTTGTATATTACATATTAAATATATTAAACATTTTATTAGCCTAACAAATTCGTTTATAAAACAATTCAAGTATTATTAAGTATTCAATCTTATAGTGTATCACCGTAATATGTTTTTTATCAACAATAAAACCTTTTTAAAATTTGTAATCTTTTTTTAGATGACGTATTTTACCATCTTAAAAAAAAAGTGTTATTGGACTACTAGTTAACTCTATGTAAGTCATCATAGCAATGGTAAAACTAACAGTTATTAACAATCAATTAACAATACTTTCAGCGGTAAACCGTGGGTCATTTAAAAAAAATATATATATTTAATATACTTTATTAGCTGCTGCTATACTACCGCATGACAGGCATAAGCGCTGCTGTCCAATACCTTATTTGTCTCGTTCTCGCGGTCCGCCGATAAACCAAGTACAGCATAAAGTATAATAACGTTGTCCGACAATTATAGGATCAAGTTTTGTTGACAAATACATTACAGGATTTTGCATTGTCCGATGATTCATAATTCACACTAGATTCAAATAGACGCTTATAGTGGGAGAACAACCATTATGATTATCTTAGCGTCGTTACCACGGATAACTAAAAAACCAACACCCAGTAAAACAAAACGGTTTTTTTTTTTAATTTCAGCACGCATTTGGTTTCGTCAGGTTTATGCATTTAAAATAAACCTAACTGGTTATTTTTTTTTATAAAAAACGGGTCTTTACCAACTTGGGCCTCGAAATGGTTTATCAGTTTCAAAAACTTTTTCAACCTTAAACAACAGATCTTAGTACGGATCCCTCTCGTACGCTGGCGGGCTTATGGGTGTCTAAACGCCATCAGCTTTCAAAGCCTTTCCCGTTATATTCTGTTTACAGTGGATTTCCATTTGTAAGCGGATTCTAAATTACATTTCTAGTAAAAATACATCGTACACTACACTGTCGAGAGAACAATATTTTTGTTGTAGAACGACAGAAACTGATAAGTCTCTTTTTCAAACTTTCGGGAATATACAATTTAAGTTTTTCAGAAAATTGTATTCTTAAGTATTTGTTTTCATATTAGCTAGCAATCATACCTA